ACAGCAAGCGCTTGGCCACGGACTGCAACGTGCGAGGAGTGTGCCGTGCCTCGGTGGAATGCATCAACCTCGTCGACCAGGCGCAGAGCATGGATCCCACACGCGCGGAGTCTGTCAAGACCGCGCAAGTTACGGAGATTGCCTTGGCGTATGGACTGAGCCTGCTTGATGCGGCTGCCGCGCAAGACATACTGCCTACGGAGCCCACACGCGTCCAAGAAGACTCTCGGTATCGCGCGGGCTATGGAAGCAAGAAAGTAACGGGTTGCCCGCCTTGGACGCTGTATGGAGAGCGAGGTCGCGATTCCAGAGTGCATCAGCTCTCAGCTTTCGAATTTGCGCGGCACTACCACTACCAGCAGGCGTCGCAACCCTGGACGCTGGCACAGCAGGAGCGAGAGCCGGAGAAGTACCACGTATGCCTCACAGAGGCTGGCAAGGCGAAGCTTGCACGCGGGGCGGCGCGGAGCAAGCTTGCCTCCGCCAGCGACTACCAGATCAAGGAGCAAGGCGGCGTGGGCTGGTTGCCGCTCGGCCAGGGCGAGCGAGCTCAGCCGTATCGGCACGACTGGGTCATCGTGGTGCGCAAGCGGCCGCATGTGCCCGTCATCTACGGCGCCCAGGGCTGCCGCACGGAAGAGGAGCAGGCCCAGAAGATCATGCTGCTCTTCTGCCCTTGGACCACCAATGCCGCAGATGCCACGGCCGACGTGCCCTTCGTCGCTGACCTGATGGGCGGTTGCAACACGTGGCGCGATGCCCTGACACTGTGGTTTTCCACGCGAGGCTTTCCCACGGAGTCTCTGCGCCGCTACGTCCGGAACTTCTGCTTCGTCTACTGTCTACCGCGGGAGCTGCAGTCCAACGGGGACCTCGCAGAAAACAGCGACAACGAAGGCATCGAGGACCGGGTGGGCGGCGCGAGCTCTCCTTATGTTGGGTTTTGTGGGCTTTCAACAGACTTTAACCGTACACCGACAAAATGTGCCCAAGCATCGTGACATATTGCCTGCCCTCACAGGATGCTCCGGAATACTTCGACGCCAACGACCTGCAGGCAGCGCTGGTCACGCACGTGCGGGGCAGCGGGCGGGCAGAAGAGGAGGCCGACGGTGCTGACGGGGCAGCGGAACCAAGCTTGCAGCACACCATGACCAAAGAAATGTTCGACCTGTCTTCGTCCATCTGGCTGGAAGGCCCCGGCCGCGGTGAGGCGAACGCGGAGGCCGTAGCAGAGCGCCGGAGGTTGGAGCACATGCAAGGTGTGCAGTGTCCGGAGCGCTTGCTCGCCGCCGCGCAAGCCTCGCGCAGCAAGGCGGCGACTGCCGCCGCGTCTCAGGCCCGAGCCCGTCTGGGAGGCGCAGAAAGACCGCCACAGGTCGAGGAGCGACAAGCAATCACAGCAGAACAGCTCTTGACTTGGGTGCACAGCGAGAAGATCAGCTCCTTCCTGAATGCCAAGCAGCACGAGCTTCTGAGCTTGGCCGTGGATCGCACCCTCGTCGAGCACGGCCTGGTGCAAGTCGAAGACACCGCCTTGCAGCGGGGCGACCCCCTGGTTTGGCTCCTTCACGGTGGACCTGGCACAGGCAAGACAGAGGTCCTGAACCCCATGAAAGAGCTTTTCGACATGCTCGGCTACAAGAAGGGTTTCGAATATGAGATCGCCGCTTTCCAAGCTGT